TTTATAATAAATGCTATCTCTGCCAGAGCTGCAGGTGAAATCTCCCTCAGGAGCAGTATTTCCTGCTGACTCCATGTAGAAGGCTTGGCAGAACACCCTGTACTTACAGATATTTTTGCTGGAAACAGAAAAATCCTCCTCTGGGGCTGCCCCTAAAGCCCTCGATCCTGAACATGTAATCTCCCCAGAGACCTGATGTACATGAAGAAATATAATCTTCCTGAAGCATCTGTTGTCTGCATCATATTAAATATGACTGAGACCCAACTGCCAAATCCCCAGATCACTGGCTGCAGAATCACTTAAAGGGCAGTAAAATCCAGTCCCTCCTGCAAGGAGCTCCACCATAGAGGAGCTTTCTATTTCTTTAAGAATTGCTGTTTTACCCCTCCTGCAGCCCAAGAGGTGCCTATGGTTTCCAACAGCCATTTCACCTGCTCTGTACTCCAGGAAGAACAGATGGGAGATGGAGCTGTGGATCCTATGCCTGCAGGGAGCCCGGCAGTGGCTTGTGGCTACACTGGGAGCCAAGGAATTGGCAGGTGTTAGGCAAGGGTTCTGCAAGGACGCCCTGCAGTGTGGGTCTGTGTGGCAGAGCAGCTCTAATGGCACAGTGAAAGAGAACCAGGGGTGTCTGTATCAAAAAGACACAGTGATGAGTGGTGTCTGCTGCTTTCTTCTTTATACATTTCATTTTTATGCATTTTTTTCCAACACTCCTATCCTTGACATCTGCCCTTCCCTCACCACTGCCTCCCTTCCCCCACTTCTCCCTGTAATATTGCTGTCCTTGCTTCCCCTTTTGTACATATGACCCTTCCACTATGTGGGGATTAGCATCTCACTCATAAATATGTGAAATAGATATGTAGATGATCTAATTTGCTGGGGTTTGTAGGGCTGGCATGACAGACAGGAATGGGGAGAAGGGTATATTCTGACAGGTCAGCTGAACTGCATAGGGGATGGGGAACAAGAAACAGGCACAGTAACAGCAGCACCAATACAGCAAGAGGACTGCAGGGGTGAGGACAAGATGATGAAATAGAAAGCATGGAAGAGCTTCTCAGAGGATCACAGAATGCTCAGATCTAATACAGAGGAATGGAGAGCACCAACAGGCCTGAGGAGGTGGTGTTCATACAGCAAGAACATGTAGCTGAGAAGCCACATGCAGAGGAGTTGCAAACCCTCCTAGATTTGCCTGAAGTGACCTGAGGGAGCCATGCAGCCCACTGGGGCATGTCCCAGGCCCTCAGTGTCCTCAACCCACTGACACAAAGCACATGGGGAAATGACCTGTTCTACCTTAATGGGGGATTTGTCATGAGTTTGAATTAAGTAAAAAATGTCCTTCTATGAGGATGTCCTCATAGTAGTAACTACCTCTTTTTAAAGGGGTGTGGCATGTCTGTCTTAGATATTATGATTTTAAAGCCCCATGTAAAACATGCAGACACAGCACTTCTCCTAGCCTGCTCCATGAGCACACAGATCTTCATCCTGACTCTTCTCTGGTTCTTAGATTTCAGGGAGGAGCAGAGGAAATGGGCCAGAGTGCTGCTTGCACTAAGCAGTTACAGTTCTTCCTCACCAGTACAAGCTCTGATGCAGTCAGTGGTGCAGTACAGAGGCCCTTGGCTGTGATTATGCATCTAAACACTCATGCACTCACTATGTGTATAGGCATTTGTGAGAAGGATCATTTGAAATTGCGTATTATTCTGCACACATTTCAGAGACTGACAAGGCAACCTTTTAGCTGAATTTAGGCCTGAAAGCCTATTTTATGCCATTGTGTGGATGTGATAGCAAAGGCACTGAAAATTAATTGCAAGCTTGCAGCTATCCAGGTGCCTGAAGGCAGGCGTGTAAAGTGCTTTCTGCTCTGAGCTTCCAAAGCTCTGACAACTGCAGCTCTTGTGGCCTTCAGTGGATGCTACAGCTCATCAATAATCATCACATTTGTGTTAAATTGCCAAAGGAAAGCTCCTGAAAGGAAGCTTAGTGTACCTGTGTTTGCAAAATGGATGTAAGGCATAGAAAGTGACAGGTTGCCAAAATTGCTGATGGAGAAATGGCACAAGGAAGAGCTGTGGCATAAGATGTCAGCAGAAGGAGCAATGTAGATAAGCTCTGCAGTAACTGCAACAACTAGAGCTGATAGAGCAGATGGTCATCTCCTCTTAGTCTCTAACATAGTTTATTGCCCCTAGCAATACATACCCCAAAGTACTCTGCTGATGAAGATGGGATAACATAGTAAAGGGAGGGAGAGCAGTTCTATTCTGAACATAATAGACCCATGCTATGTATCAGCTCTGACAGCCCCTTCATGTGCATTTGGGCAGACTGCATGCAGGTGGCTGCTGGCAACTTCTCTCCAGTGAAAAGCGGAAGGAATTATTTAGTTACAAGCCTCTGACCTGTGGGCATCCTGCTGCTCCCAGGGCTGTAACACACAGGACAGTCTGGAACCAAAATTGTGCACACCAATGGAGGAGACATAGGGCTTAAAGCAAGCCAAATTTGGCTTTGAAATGGGAAAAGTAGAGATAGAAGTTGCTGTGGATAAGAGTAGAAGGTGCTGATTCAAATACAGGAATGGTAACTTTGAAGGCAAACTGCTGTGTTTATCAAAAACCCCATTTACCAAGCAGTAAAAAACATAACAGCCTTCTGAAAAGAAGGAAAATCTCTGTGCTCCAGGCTAGCAGAATAAACACGTCTTACAAAAAAAGACTCCCCTAATGCGGTGCACTAAACTGGTTCCCAAATTCCAACTAAATACATCATGACAGAACCACAGAATTACAGAATCAGAGGTGTTGAAGGGACCTCTGGAGATCATCTAGTTCAAACCTTTGGTAAAGAGAGGTTTCTTTACAGCAACCCTGTGCCCAGGGTCCCTGTGTCATGCCATAACCAGGGACTGCCCAGCTTCTTAGATGAGTTTCTGTCCAATACAGGGAGTTCCCTTCCCTTCCTTCCCTCCCCTCATCCCCCAAAACACAATGAGAAGAGCCATGCCAAAGTAGCAGTACAGATATGTTGCAATGGGAGCTAATCACACATTCTGTACTGGAAAATGTCCTGAGTTTGAAAGGCCAGATATCTATAATCACCACGCTTATAGTGTTCACTTATATAGCAAATATTGTTTCAACTGCATGTTTACTCTTTTTTTTTTTTTTTTAATTATTAAAAAACAAAGAGAGTATATTTCTTTCTCCTTCTTTATAGCATCAAAGCAGGATAGCATGCCACTCAGTCATATAAATAAGAACTTGCAGATACATACGTGTCGTTAGCTCCTTAATTGACAAACCATTCTACAAACTAACATCAAGCATTTGTAACTACCATTCAAAAAACTGCTCTTTTCTGAGGAGCTGACAAAGGCCGTTCACATCTGAAATCCAACAGCTACAACAGCAGTGAGCAGCCTGGGCTCTAGAGGAAGGAGTCAAGGAAATGCTCTGCTTCTGCCAGAACAAAACCTGCCACACTGCTTTCCACCTGCAAGAAGTCCCAGACACGGAGAACAGGAAATAGCTGCTTGCAGCCCGTCCAGATCCTGAAGATTTGGGAATGTAGATGTCACCAGCAGGCCTTGCAGGGCTGCCATTACCCAGCACTTATATCAGCAGTTCTGGTTGTAGTCCTCTTGCACTGGAAGCTCTCCCAGGCTGCGCTGGGGCAGTGCAGCACACCATGCACAGCACACCTGCATTAAGTGGTACTAGTGATATCTTCCATGGCCTTGACAAACACCTTCCCACATTTGGTATCTAGAGGCTCAAGTAAGTATCTGGAACTTTAAACAAAATGCTTTCAAGTGAGATCAAAAATGGTAACGAAGATGTATTGTATCTCAGTCTTTCTCTTTTAACCTCCTGCTTTCACATGAAAAACATTTCCTTCGGAACCCATGGAATTAAGAGTACAACTTATATAGCAAAATGCATTCCTGAGTAGGCCCATAGGTTAATCCAGGTGCTGAGAGTGCCACAGGCAGCACCCTGAGTGCTGAAGTGTCCTATGTCTCAGCATGGCTACCTTACCAAGATAGAGCGCAGAGCTGGGGGCATTTCAGTACCTCTGTGAGTTGAATGAGCAACAGCTCACATATCACTATTTTTCCATGGAGCTGTAGGAGAGAATCTCCTTGAGAAAAAAAAAAAAAAAAAAAAAAAAAAAAAAAAGAAAAAGATGAGATTTTGAAGCTCCTTTCCTCCTCAGAGGAGGTTTGGGCAACCTACAGTAAAGAACTCATTGGGCAAGGGCAGCCTTGTCTTTAAAGAAATGGTGGGCTGGACACCAACAAACCCAGGCTTCCCTTGGACTTACTTCCAGACAGCAATTCTTCTTCCAGCACCTGCGTCGGACGTCTGGGGCTGCGAGGAGACACATCAGGAGTGTGAGGGAAGGCAGGCATGAGAGGTGGCCATTTGACAGCACTCCTCATGCCTCCCTAGCTCCATGAGCCTACTTGTGCATGGGTGCCAGAGCAGCTGGGTGAGGTGTCACAGTGGGAATGACTTCTGACTGAGCAGGGATGCACCAGGGAAGAATTTCCTTCTACAGGGGGAGGCAGTAGCTGCAAACACACAGGAAAGAAGGGGAAGAGAGCGGTTTCCTTGTCTGGTGGTTCAGCTGCAGTTTGCAAGCAAAAAGCCTGAAGCAAAGAGAGCAGGTCCCCCTGAATTCAGGGTATAGTGCACATATTCATGGCCCAGCAAAAAAATAAAACAGAAATTTGTTTGGTTTCAGTTCACGTCTTGGTGGTGGTTCATGTTTTATTCATAGTAGTCAGAGGTCAGGCGTTCCTGTGAATGAAGAAATCCCCTTTCTTTCGGTGCTGCTTACAAAAAGTCAGTAGCAGAGCAACACTACTGGCCGCAGGAGAACTTCTGCCACCAGCTTCCTGATTCTCCAGAAGCTTGAGTCCTTCAGCCATTTTTTACCTTTTATATTCACAGGACTAGTCAAGCAAAAGGTTGATTGGATTATTCTGCTTTAATTAGAAAATGCACTCAGACCAAAGGCATAATTATACCTGGTACATATGTACACATTTCTCTCAATTATAATGCCAAGATCAAAATGTGGTCTAGTCCTGCTTTGAACCAACTGTTTCCCTCTGGCAAGATCACTGCAATGTGCACAGACATCATCACAACAGTGCTTGAACTGCTCCGTGTGCCGAGGATGCAGAACTGTATTTTATCATGTACGTGTGCACCCCTTAGGATGGACAGAGTGAGGGATAAGCAATACAAGGGAGTCAAAAGTAGAACCCTGGGGTACTTTGAGCCCAAAATCCACCACTCCCATTCCCCACCCTCCTCAAAAAGCAGCACAGGGCCCCTGTCTCCTTCCTGCTGCAGAGTTAGGACGAGGTGGATAAATCACAAGGTTTTTTTTATTGCTGGTGAACTCAAAACAGGCAACTTTAATCTACCAAGGAAGATACACATACAAACAAATGGTTAGGCCTTGTGCGTTGTTTTTTTTTTCTTTCCTTCACAATGTAAGTGTCTGTATCACTTCAGTCCAGCTCCTGAGCTCATGCTGAGCTGCCACCAAGACCTCAGTAACGTGCTCTGGGCACTTCTCCTGTAAGATGTTGTAAGAAGCATCACACGTACTAAAAAGAGAGATTTTGCAGAAGAGACAAAGCCACATTGCTTAGCAAGAAGTCTAGCTAACCCTGCTTTGTTAGGTACATGGTATTAAAGCAAACCCTGCAATAACGTTTGTTGTCCAGGGAATTATTTGAAATTATTTAATAATTTGTTGGGTCCTTTCCTGTTTCTGGTGTGCAAACTGCAAGAAAAGTGCACTTCTGGGTGTAAGTTACAAGTCTCTAAGGATGCAGTATCTAGGTGGTACGCATCAGACATCTCTAGAAAGCAAACCAGAGTAGTGGTTACAATGGCATAGGCAATAGGGATAATAGAATAAGATGTTGTAGCTGCTGGGAGACGCCTCCATAGCCTGAGCAACTAAATATTACATCACTGTGCAAGAACTGTACCATTTGGTGGAAACTTCTGCAGTCACAACACATGGCTGTGTACCAAGTTAGCTCTGTGAACTCTTCCTCCCTTAGTCCCACCTGCAGCTGGTATGGAGTCACCAAATGATGCTGCTAGCTCCTTCTAACACTTCTGAGAGTTTTGTAGCTGCTAAGGAGAAAGCAGAGATCCTAGGAATGCTTCTGTGAAACTGAGGGTTTCAGATGGTGTGGGGAGATAAGAGGCAGCATCACACCACAGCCATGCTGTGCTGTGAGAGAATAGCCCGGCTCCAGGTACTGCATGACCCTGACAGAATTAGGGCCAAAGCGGGGACATCACAGAATCATGGAATGGCTTAGGTTGGAAGGGACCTCATAGAACATCTAGTTCCTACACCCTGCCATGGGCCGGGCTGCCACCCACCATATAGGGCTGCCCAGGGCCCATCCAGCCTGGCCCTGAACACCTCCAGGTATGGGATGAGATCCCAGCTCTTATCTATACCTTGCAGTTCTTGTTCTAATTCAGCAGAGCTCATCTCTTTTTGCCCCCCTGCACTACATGAGGTGACTGTTTTGCCTGGGTCTGTACATGCGAGACCATCAGGACTGACAAACAACACAGTGCTTCTCTGGTTTTATAATACTGGCATCACAGAAAGGAAAAAGTATATACATCTACTCAGTATTTGCTCTCTTTTAATTTAATGGTCTATAAAAAGGAAACCCTAAATACCCATCTAAACATTCAGAGTGCTTTAAGAGACACTGCATATCCTAGGGCAGATGTGATTAACTCCTTGACACCATTGATTTGTGTCCATTGCCAGCAATGGATGTCATGTGAGAAGGGGGAAGGAGAGAAATAAAATAATTGCACACTGTGCAACACAGAAAGGATTAACACTGGCTTTCTAGGGGCAGAACCAGACAATGATTCCCTTCGCAGGGCTAGAAGTGCTTCTCCCCTTGGGAGAAGATTCCCCAGGGACAACGTTCACAGCTGAGCTCTACCTCAGACAGAGGAGCAGCACAAAAATAACCTGGCTGCTTCCAGTGCAAGAGTGGAAACCCACAACCAGACAAACACGTGTGTTTCAAGCCAAATTCATCCCTGCTGCAGCTCTGCTGATTACAGTATAGGAACACTCAAAATTAATCTGTCCTATGAGACAATTACAGCAAACCTGCCTGGTAAAGCTGTCACGAGCACGATATTTCTGACAACAGGAAATTCCACTTTTGTGGCTCTGACAGCCAAGGCTTACCAAAGCACATTATTTAACCTGTGGTTGCCAGTATCAGGCACCTTTCCTGTTCTACAGCTTTTCCCAGACTCTACAAGTGTTCCCATGAGGTTAAATTCCAAACTGCCCCCATGCAAGCAGCTCCAAAATGGAGCCACAGCACTCCCTGCTCCTACAGCTCTCTATTGCTTCTCTCACACTAGAACCCAAAACCTTGCTCAAACTGTGAAGAAGAGCTCCTCAGGGAGAACTGTGTTTGTTTTTGGAAGTAATGTGTCTCCCTATATCAGACAGCATGGTATATCTCTTGCTGCCTGCAGTTATTCTCATGGGAAAGGTTTGCTGTAGTTATTTAGAATAGAATTTGGGAAAGAAGAGCAAATCCTCTTGGAACACTGAGGAGACCACTGGGCTGCCAGCGCTGGTGGAGGGTGACCATCAGTGCTAGAGGACTGAATGCTGGGTACCACTTCAGCCACACAAAAATTTTGACCTTTGGTCAAATACAATGAGTTGCAGCCAGATTAAGTCATCAACATCACCAGAAACAGAGGAATCCCTGGGAAGGAAGGCAGAAGACTCTTGTGGCATGTATAGTCTCTACAAAGTTTGCATGGTTGGGATGAGAGCTGGAATCTGCAGCAGCCCTTCAGAGAAGTTCTGCTTTGGGGGGACAGAGGAGATGGGAAGACTTACATATTTATTGTGCCTTTTGCCAAGATTCAGATTGCACAGATTATGGTAAAATTCACTCAGCAAAAAAGGCTTTTTCTTAAAAAAAAAAGAAAAAAAAAAGAAAGAAAGAAAAAAAAAAAATCTATTATCAGGACCGAGATTTCAAAAAGTACAAGATTTGTATAAATTCAGCAAGATGTCCAGCACCATATTATATTGTGGTGCAAAAAAAGAACCTTGGGGTAGGCCAGTGGGACCTCATGAGGGGAACACCATCTACCTCCCCAGCAGACTGCCAGCCTTAGGTTCTTCTCCATAGCAGACGGATTTTCCTTGTTCCTGCAGCATCTCAGGTCCCACAGGAGGTATTGGTTGCAAGCAAGCACCTGAATATTGCCTAATGGAGTAAGCCGATCACTGACTTTGCTGGCGTGTCCATGACCATCCTCCAGTGATTCCATTTTTCCTTTTTGAATACTTTTCCACCTTAGTATTTTTTCCCTCCTTCTTTCTCCACACAGAAGTGTAAGCAAAAGGACTGCTTTCATCTGTAATAAGTTAAAATCAAAAATGACCTAACTAACAAGTAACTGATATTGGTCCTTGGAACCCAAAGAGTAAAATCCTTAAAAAATCTATTGGTTCCATTTTTTTTTCTGGTATATCCCATGCACACCCCCATTAGAAAAATGGGGTTTATGAATCTTATCATACAGCAAGGAGCAGTACCTCAAAGCCAGAGCTAACAGCCTGTGGTAGAGGTCTGGGCTCTCTCAGATTGCTAAGGGTGGCTCTGAGTCATGGTTCAATCCGTCTTCACGTGGCCATTGGCCAAGGCAATGGGAACAGTAGGAGCCCCTGGCTCGGCAGTCTCATCAAATCTCAAGCGCAGGGTGTTCCTGATCACCAGCTGTTCCATGATGAAAGAAGCACAAAACCATGGGATGGCATACTCCAGGGTGATCAGGCCCATGAAGTCAAAATCAAATTGGGAATAGTCCCATGGGCAGGCATTGAACTGGCGTAGGATGAGGCCAGTGGTGAACTCCCAGAGATACGTCCAGAGGGTGTAAATAAAGCAGCGAACTAAAATGTGACACTTGTCTTTGAGATACAGATACATCTTCTCCACAATGAGGATGGAGGTGCCATAGATGAAGAGTGCCCACACACTGGTAACACCTGGGAACTTCCAGTTGAAGTTGACCACAAACTCCCAGGCAGCTGTGAACATGACCTCACAGAAATAGCCATGAATGGCATAGAGGTACCATCGGGAGAAAGCGGTCAGAGGTTCTGCCGCAGCCATCCTTCTGCACGCGCCCTGGTAGGCACTCTGAAACAAAGACAGAGAGAGGAGTCAATGAGGAATTCAAGTCTTTACCACCTAGGTTGCAACATGCACAGATCAGTAACATCCACAAAGGGAAAATTCTAATAAGAAAAGTGCATTTAAAATTGTATCATTTTTACTACAGCAAATTTAAGCCCTGGGGAAAGGTGGCACCTTATCAGGCTCTGAGTCTCAGAATGCATCTGGACTACTCTGACTGAAGACTGGGATGTAGCTGTTATTGCACTCATGGTAGAGAGGGAACTGAAAGTTTCAAGGACTTTGCCAGGAGTGAGGCTACTAAAGAACTTACTGGATGCAATCATCAGCAGAAAAATACAGGCTTCTCAGAAGGAGCACACATCATCTTTTTGCTCTCTTCAAGAAACAGTACTGTGCTCTGCTTTTATTTCTGTCTCTAAAATGAAGACTAGCTGAGCACAGCATTGAAAATCTGAGCCTTTTTCATCTGTCTCCGACAGTCTCCATACCCAGAAAGTTTACTGTAGAGAAAGACTGAGATTTGATGGGAGCTACAGAAAGGAAACCAGAAGAGAAAGTCTCAGAGGTTTTACACTTCCCCATATACACCTTGCTTCCATTCAGCTGAACTGTTATCTCTTCTTAATTCTTTCAGTTAGAGAATTTTGGCATCATACCTAGGATTTAGAGAATCATCTCTTATGCTATCGAACTGCCCAGTACCAAGTCAAAAAAAGACAAGAGAGCCATTGAAATCCATACAGATTTTGCTTCAGGACAGCAAAGCACAAAGAATGAGAATAAAAAGAACAGCTGAGCATAGAGAGAGGTGGTTAGTCATGATAAATAGGAAATGAGAACAAACTCTATTTGTCTCTACAGGAGGAAACTTGGTGAAGTGATTTGTGAGAGGGCATAATTTGCTTATCGCTGAGCAGTTTAAACACAGTTGATTTTCATGCTTCTTTGTAGAGATTCACAAGGTCCTAAGCATTGCTTTACCACACTATATTCACTGGCAGAAGCTGATTAGATACAGTTTTATTGAAGGAGACCTATGCTCCAGGGTGAATTTGACATCTTCTGGATTTTAAAAAAACTTTTTATTCCAGGCTGAGTTTCTTGACTTCATCAGGCATTATTTAATTCACTTGCTCTGCACTTGTCAACCCCATGGTACAGTGTGCTAAGTAAGGACTACACTATGTCCTGTGTGCAATTCCAAGTGGATTGTTCCTGCCCTGCTTTGTAATCACTGCCTCTCTGGACAAAATATTAACATGCAGGGTGACTAAAACTGTCAGGAAATCATCAGGAAAATGGAAGTGGAATAATGAAAATGGAGAGCACAAAAGAGAATATTCACTGAAAAAGTACCTATGGGAGAAAAGATGAATTGTGGTATGTTTCTTGGCAATGAAAACCAATGGGGAATATTGAAAGTGGAAAGGACAGAACTGTATCCATGAATTCACTCCTGTCTTACGTAATCACCTATAAACAACCATAGACTTGTCAGCTCACATGATGTGAATGAACAAAGACTCTTTTCCTAACAGCACAATCTGTTTCACATATGGTACTGAACTATCATCAAATGCTACACATTTGGGTCAACAGCACATTTTGAACTTGTGGGTGAAAGACTCTGCTAAGTATCAATTCCTGATACTGAAATTTTTGGCTAATAGCTGAACTGAAAGCAGGTCTGAGACAACTTCTACAGTACAAATGACCCCATTTATAACCACCACTGATGTATTATGAATCCTGAGCCTTTCACTGTAACTGCAAGAAGTAAAGCATCAAAGTGCTGACACTGTCTCAGTACTTCCCTTCAACTGTCAGGTGCCAAGTCAGCACAAGCTTGATGGGAACTTCCTGCTCTTGATGTCCTTGAAGGACAATCCTCACAGACGGCCTGTTGATGAAAAGCACCTGTAGACAGGGCAGTTGCTGAACTGGGGAAGCTCAGATGTAATCTGGTTCCACTGCGCTAGGCAATAAGTCCTTCAGTCAATGCAGCTTCTCCCGTACAACATTCAATTCAAGGTGACACCAAAGTATACGTTAAAAAATAGAACGGGCAATGCCAAGAGTGTATACAAGAAGCTACATCCTTGCACAAGTTGCGTATTGTACAGCGTCATGATGACAAGTTGCTTGAGCAATTACAAAAGTAATTGACAGTGCAGCCATTCCCAAGTATCTTGTCTCTCAGCCATACCAAAGTGGCTCATGCTTGGCAGATAGTACAGAGAAAGACAGTCTTAAAAGGGAAATGAGGGAAAATGGTGCTGTCTTATTGGATAGCAGTTAATGCCCAAGGACCATGTTCGAAATAATTGCAGGCTGTTAGTGGCACAAGCATCCAGACAGAGGGCCAAGACTGTAACTGATGCACATTTATGAAAAGCTTGAAATAGATAATTGATCTTGGTGATACAAGACTTTTAATGGAGTGACAGTAATACAGATTAAAAAACTCTGAGTATACGATAGTTGTTCAGTCCCCTGAGAAAAACAAATGGCATTCATCAGCGAGGTAGCTCTGGTGGAATGAGCAGCAGCTTCCAGAAAACAAGAAACACAGTTGCCATCTGTGCAATTGTCTCAGCAGAGCAAGTCATGGAGACTGCACACTGACAGCAGCTCGAGATGATGGAAGTACCTTCCACCAGAAAAGTATATTTCAAGCAGCTAGAGAAATGGTTCACTCAAAATGTCATTATTAGGACTGAGCAAAAACATTTCAGAAGCACTGTGTTTTTCTCAAGTAGGACCTTCTTTTCCAACTTGATGATAGAATTACAAGAAAAATGGGAGATCTATGGAAACCACAACCAGGCCTTAGAGGAACGTGCTGCCTGTGCAGGTAACACAGAGGACAAGAGCTCCTCTGCCTACAACAAGGAAGGACAGTTTGAACAGGGGAAGACTGTGCAGGGCTGTGATTCTTTACAGAGACCTGGTTCAGAAGAATTAGGGCAGAATTCTGGTTTAGGGCTGTAAGAAAACAATACTGTAACAGCAATAAGATCATATTTCCACACTTCAGTATATCAGCTCCAAATGGGATATCCATCATTGCTTAGGGTGAGCAAGATGCAGTCAAACCTGCTGCACGAGGCCACATAAGCAGAAAGGATGTAAATATCAGTGCAAGATCCTTTGTGCACGAGGAAGACTTTCATCCTCCCTTCCAGTTGTCCTTTTTTTCCCCCTTTTTCCAAATGAGACAACTGTGAGTAGAGAACTCTGAAACAGTGGCACCTGCCACTCCCTTATTATAAACCCTTCCGCTTATGACATGCTCCTTCTTACCCAAGTAGTATTTACATAAAAGTAACTGTTCTTAATAAGTTTACCGATGATTTTCACTGGGACATCTTTGAAGATACTTTGCTACTCATTAAGGCTGGGAGAATCAAATAAAGCCTTTTTGCTTTAACAAAGAGTAGGTCAACGAGGACATGTTGATGAAAAGCAACACACGTTTTAGAGGCAATACCTTTTTAAATGCGTATCTCTTACTCTTTCTTCTTTCCCTCTGAGTAAGCTCCAAATCAGAATGCTTGTGCAACCAGGGACACCATTAATGTGCTGCAACTGTATCTATCTTCAGTGTTTTTGTATAAATCTCACACAGATCATTAGAAGTAAAGATTTACGGAACACTAGTGCTGGATTTGGCCCCAAGACATTAGTTCATTAGTGTTCAAAGATTTATGCAGCAAAGTCTCAGCAGTACTTACGCATTGAAGTCATAAGTCTGAGGAGATAGCCATCCTCCAGGTAACTGAGAGCCTCAATTAACTGCATCTCAGAAAATTGAATTTTAGCTCTTCTAAAGTGTGGAACGGTTCCAGCAAATCGATTAATCAAGCCTCATAATGAGTGCTAGAAGAGAGCCACAGACATATGTGTCTTGACAGATTTGATGGCCCTTCCTTACTCTTAGCACTTTCAGGATGGATCTGGAGCTCTGGGATTTTGGTTACTTCTGAATATATTGATCTGTCTTTGTTCCTTCTCTCTCTGGACTCCACTCCATTGGGATGTATGTTGTCTCCATTCTTCTGAGGTCTACTATATTGCAAGGAAGAAAGACAATTTTCTGCTTTTTCCCCTCATTTTTTGTTTCTAGCTCCTTGTCCTTACAAGGTACATCATCTTCTGGGTCCTTCACCCTGTACATTCTTACACTTGCTGGCAGCCTCTGACCCTGCCTATCTTTCAAATCTGTTCCAAAGAGAACTGGGATTCAGTAAAAAGGAATGACGACAAAAGAAGATTAAATGAATCCAATTACCAGACTAAGCTGAAGGGGTGGGGAAGTGTAGCTGTTACCAGTAATGCCCATGTGGGATGCCCAGAAGGCACCATTTCATAATAAGGAGAAAAATGGGGGTTTCTTTGGAGGGAGCTTTTCAAGGAACAAATAGAAAACAAGAAGGCATTACTAGTTTAAAGATTTTTCTGACAAATGTGATCTCTTGAAAAAAAAAGCTCAAGAAGATGAGACTTGCCATGCCCTGCACCATGCATTGCCTCATGTTACCAGAATGGACCTTTGCCCACAGCAACCACCCTAACCTGAGAGCAAGCTAAGGCAGCAGCTCTTCACTTCCAGTGACCAAGTGCAATGCTTCTTATGTTCCAGACAAAAAGCTCCTTTAGAGTCAAGCAAGTAGCATGCTCACAAGGCAAATTTGTGAAAAATGGCTGAGATCACACTCAACATGTAGAATTATTATCATTGAGTCTGTCCAAATCTTTTCAGGCAAAAATCAAGTCCCTGTCTAGCTAGTTGCTAGAACACTGCCTCACCTGCCTCACTCCCATGTGAAAAAGCTGCCCTGAGTCCTCAGGACATGCACTGGCACTAGAGGAAAGTGTCCACCAAAGCCCCAGCACAGAGAACACTTGGAACACTTGGGCACAGCTGTAGGAGTAGACAGAGCATCTATCAGCCTGCAGAGGTTTTTCAGTCTTAACAGTAGCCTAAATTTACTTTATTCTCTGCGGTGAGGGCAGAACTGAGTTCCAGAAATGATTTTTCCAAAGCTGCTGCAAGTTTACAGTCCGTAACTTCAGGACTGAGCATTGGTAGCTCTTGGTGGGCAGCTGTCAGCTCACTGCTTGCGGCCACGGACATGCACTTCTAACGGTGTGCTCACGCACAGTAGCAATCAAAATTCACGGCTGTTTTTGAAAGCTTGGGCTTAACATGTTGCATTAGCTGACTGAAGCAAATCTGACATTCAGAGAACATAATGCACATCACGGCTTACAAGGAAAAGCAACCAAAACAGAGTGATGAGTGGAGAGAGAATTTATCCTGAAAACATGCTGAGAATTTACAAGCCACAGCCAATATCATTTCCTCTGCCACTAAAGAGCCAGCAAACACAAGGGAGAAAAAACATTAAGATCAAGGCATATTGCCTAACTTACATGATTTCTTAAGGAAATCTAAGGCAGCTCTTCTTCTGCAGTTTTCTTTTTCTTCTTAGTAAATGCCCTCTCGTCTTCTTTCCAAAGCAAAATGAAAAGCATACACACCGGTCTACTCCTGATAAACCACCTCACAATAATAAATTGATTTAGACAACTCTGAGATCAATACCAGTCCTAACAAACAAGCACTTAGCCCAGCTCTTCAGAACAATTTTCACTTACAAGCCAGAATCAGTATGCAGTGGAAGAAAGCCAGATTTGGCAATTAGAACATCAAGAAATTCAAACTCACTTCGCATCGAAAATGAAGCTTGGCAGAAAAGAATCTTGTGATCAAGGCACCGAAGTAAAAGTATGTAAAATCCTTGCCTGCTAATACCGTGAGATAATCCAAGTCACCTAAAACCGTGAAGAGAAACTGTGTGTGTAAAAAGACCAAAAAAAACCCCAAACATTAGAACTATCGGCAGATCCGAGGCAGCGTCTCCTGGTTTGCTGCAGAAGAAACTAAATGCAGCATTTCAGAAGTCTGGTACTTCTTTTACTGCAGAAGAAGAGAGCAGCCTCAAAAAATTCTTGCTACATACACAGCTGCAAAAAACTTTTTCCTTCTGCTTGCATTTCTCTTCTCCAGCACACAAACCTTTATAAATCTCTACTATTCAAGTGATGGTAGTGGGTAACTGGGCAGTGCAAGCACCCACAGCAAGCAGCTGTGGCCACTCCTCACCTGAGAGGAACAGCATCTGCAGCAAACCATGAAGACATGCAGCATCTGGGCTTATGCTGAGATAGATTCAAGCCTCACAGGCAGAAAGTGCTGCATGGAGATGGATGAAATAAAAGAGAGAACACTTTCAAGCACCTGCAGAAATGGGACCTTAGACTGCCATCAAAAGGGGAAAGAGAGAAGAAAACTTCTTGAAGTCTGTTGATGGCAATTCTACATTTTTTTTTCCTTCTTAACTGTTCCTCCTTTAATATTCTGCAAATACGTATTTTTCTTATTCTCACTTTTCCTAATATCAAACTACCACTGAAATGTGAAGTAATGAGAACCTCAAAGTGCTCTCTGCTTTTGCCATGCTGCAAAGCCTGAGATTTCCTGCTAACAGCCTTGCAGGAGGAAGCTTCACAGATTTCACATTGCTAAATTGTTCTCTTTTAAGGAAGAAATCTTAGTGGAGCCCCCAAGACGGTGGCTGTCTCATCTTCATCTCAAGTTCATGCAGATCCTGAGAGGCAACAAATGATCTGGGAAGGACGGGCAGAAGAGGCTAAGTCTCAGAGTCCTACTGACCACCGTGTCAAACAAAATCCTCAGGTAGGCACCCCTGCCTACAGCTGGGGAAGGCAGCTCCTCTGAAACAGCTTCCATTTTACCTTAGGGGTGAATCATGCCATAACTGGCTTGCAGAGCACAAAAATCAGCAGTTGAAATACATTGTACGAGCAAATAAATTAGTGAATTTTAGCCTCTACTGTTCAGGTTTAGCTCAATTCAGAAAAAGCTGCAAGCATCCTGTAAGTGCTATCACTGAGGATATTTGTCTTCACAGACTACTCAAACTTTTCTGTCCTTAATAAGAAATTAAAAAAAAAAAAAAAAAAAAAAAAATTCTTAGGTTCTAGGCCAAATTCCTACACAGCAAACATATCCCCCTGCTGCATTGGGTAGTTGCCATTTACATCTTTGCAAAAAGAACACTTACATTTTCAGTGCTGTTATTTCTTCAAAGTATCAGGAAGCTTATTATCTTCAGGTTGGATATCAGGAAAAATTTCTTCTGAGAAAGTGTGGTTGGGCACTGGCACAGGCTGCCCAGGGAGGTGGTGGAGACGCCATCCCTGGAGATGTTCAAGAACCAAGTGGACATGGCACTGAGGAACGTGGTTAATGGGTATGGTGGGGGTGGGATGATGGTTGGACGAGATGATCTCAGTGGCCTTTTCCAACCTTAACGATTCTATGATTCTGTTCTCTCTGGGTTACTACTACATTCATACCATCTTCACTTTTTATGCACTCTTGCCACTTTTTTCTTTTGTAACAATGAAGAAACAGATCTGTCACAAACCTCAAATTCACAGGTTCATATTTCTTCTCAGATCAAAGTCACCCATCTGATTTGTGCCTCAAGAAGGTGGCACTTTCCCACTGGAAAACCTAACTGAAATCATCAACCTTCCAAGAAGTGGTTGGCCAAGCACTCACAGCCTTTTTCAAATAAAAGAGTAACTAAACATTTGTGCTTCATGTGGAACTGGACATCTGCTTCTTCCTGCTATTCAGAGAAACCTGTTACCTCTTTAGTCATCAGTTTCTTAACTCAGCATTGGCCCTCAAGCTTTTGCTGCCTCACCCTACATCTATCTCCTTTTCAAGTCACTCACCTCATGAAAGCACAGTCCCAGAAATGTTTCCCAGTACCGTTCTTCCAGGCAGAAAAGTGTGCTCCCAGCTGCAGTTTCACAAACTCCAGCTTGTGAGCCAGGGAGCTGGGTCAGAAGGATGCCCTGCCTCTCTTCTGTCTGCAGCTGACCTCACCTTGGTTCCTTTCCAGTTTTTTTTGAGCTTCATGCTGCCTCACTCCCAAATCACAGACCTGAACTGTTCTCTCACGCTCTAATTGGGACTGAACCACAGATATCTTGATTTGTTTTAATTAAAGCAAATCAACCCACTATGCTTACACAATTTTTAAATCCAACTACAGATGTACAGATATATAAAAATGCTAGATTCAGGATTCCTGCCTGCAGTTCGCCAACCACATATTACAGCTCCGCAGGGAATGCCCAGTTCCATCCTTTAGGGAGGATCCCATATGAAAGCAGGTACATTTAATGCTAGATCTACGTCTTTCTTTCAGATTCCCTTTTTTGACTGCAGCATGCCCAGATGACTGTGCTTTATTGAACGGTATTCCTGATAAAACCTGTGAATGGATTCATCACTCTGATGCAGTATAGCATTTTGAAAAATGGCCTATATTTATTAGTCAACATCAGTATCAGCCTTTAGGCTTCTTGAAATAAGACACAAGACGTGCTGATAAGTATGTGCACAGGGATGCTTTGAACACTGCCGTATGACAAGTCCAGGAATTAATCATTCATAGATCGAATGATAGAGATAGAGTGGCCCAAATCATAAAATAATGCAATACCTCTGCTTTGAAGATCTGGCCATTTGTGGCTGCGATATGTGCTGAAAGCCTACTCATATTCGTCCCTTATCCTGGATCTGATGTACACATTTAGTCTTCAGAAGAATTCAAAACCATGTCTAGTGAATAGTACCTAACAAACATTTTCTTTGGAACTACTTGAAAACTACTTGTGTCATGTAAATACCGCTTACTTGATAAACATCTGAGAAAGGAATTAAGCCTCCACCTTAGTAAGCCTCCACCTTACAACAGAAAATCCTTAAGAACTACTAACTCTAATCCTAAACTCAGCAAGGAGGTCAAAATAATACTCACCTCTTCACTCCTATTGGTTGCCAATTCACACAGAAAATATCTTCCTCTCTCAGCTGGAGAAAGATGGCACAGACACAAAAGGTCAACACACAAAGACAAAGGGAGATTTGGATTTGAGTTTATACACACAGCTGCCACAATAAAAAGCAGAACAATTTTCTTGCTTGAACTGCTACCATATTTGTGTTGTCTCCTTTAAGACCCAAGAGTTAAAGCATAGAAAGGGAGGGAAAGCTGGTGAGAAGTTGTGGATGCCTCATCCCTGGAAATGTTCAAGACCAGGTTGGATGGGGCCCTGGGCAACCTGATCTAGTGCCCAATCTAGTGGTTGGCAACCCTGCCCAGATGGGAGAGGTTGGAAACAGATGATCTTTAAGGTCTCCTCCAACATAAGCCATTCAGGGATTTGGTGAAATAATGTGGGAAAAAACTTCATGAGAACTTTGCCTTGAGAACAAAATCTGGCTCAAAAGAAGACAGTTGGAAAGACTCAGGATAACTTGTAGAATTGAAGGAAATGAGGAAGAGTGCACACACAGAAGTAAATATTCAAGTGTATTAAGGCAGAATCCTTGCAGGGGCCAGATTTTGGGAAAATGAATCACTTGTTTCATAACCACTAACCTCACCTACACAGATAATAATGAAGATCCATAGCTCTTCACAGCTGCTACAGTGATGAGATAAAATCTGCATACATGTTCTACCCTACTTCTGACTATCAACCTTAAGTCAACAGCCTCTAGAACAGTTTCCCTTGGTATTAGACACTTTCAGAAAACTAAGTTCTGCTCTGCTCTGCAGGCAGGAGATTGTTTGTGCTTCTCTAGTTCAGCATTCCCTTCTGTCTGAAGAAGCTGCTGTATGCAGGAAGAACAGAAAATGACTAAGTATAGCCAGACTGTGTGCACTGACCTGTTTTGGCCTTACGAAACAGAGAAGTCAATTGTTTAAATCCCATCTCCGCTAACCTGGTGCTGCAGTGGGGCATGGCTATCATTTGTCTAATGCCCAGCAGAAAGATCAGCAGCAGGAGGGGGCTTTTGTTGTCATAATCTCCTGCAGCCTCAGCCCGGGGCTAGCAGCACACATCACAACTGAAATTGCCAAATGCCAGATCCTGCCTTGCATCTGCCTGTCCCAGATGCCAACATTGAGGATGAAATGAAAGAAAGGAGAGAAAAAACACCTTTCTAGAATAGAAGTTTGTTAAGACAGATGAATTCCTTGCATCCCAGCTCATATCAGAATACTTCATCCCCCTTCTCCTAGTATTTCCATCACAGGATACAACCAGGTATCAGTAAACTCAAGTAACAAAGGCCTGTACAAACACACAAACAGTATGTACCTAAAACAACATGTCAAACCACATCATCTTTCTTAATTCCCTGTTGCTGCAGGAAGACCGAGATTTAAAAACTAGAATCCTATTTATTTTGCTATTTGGGCCTCAAAAATAAGATGTTCCAAGACACAAAGCTCTTATGTTTTCTTATATTTCAAATGATTGACAAAGATTCTTCATAATCCAACCACAGGCACTAATTAGCCAGGAACCTTGGCCATGTCAAAAGAGAGACCAGACACCAGTTGACTCTGTATTCATTTACTTGCCTCTCATACTGATGTATAACAGATAAAGCTCACATTCTCAGTCTCAGAATTTCTGAACAGTCCAGTCACTACCTTTCACTAACACCAAACTACACTCACAAAAACACTTTGATGGGCATACAGGGCCCTCCAGAACACACAGGGACATGACTATGGAGGAGCAATTGGCAGTCAGTGTCTGCCTGGTTTCAGCTCTGCAATGCACGTGGCTTGTCTTCACTGCTGGGTTCCACAGACAAGATGCTTGATGCTTGTTCCAGAGAAGATCAGACCCACCGCAGACCCAGACATATATTCAGCAACTTTTTGATGTTATTACTTTGATCAGATCAGAGACAGAAACCTGACACAACAAATAGCTCCAAGCCCAAACACAGCCAAGTACCCGAATCTTACTGTTCACCCCTGCTCTAGCACCTCACCAGCATCAGCTGCTGTCAAACATATTACCACTCCTTAGGAAATCCTATGGCACTTAATCTTTGAAGGAAAAGGAGTTCTGAGTAGAAGATACCTCACCCAGTTCCCAAGAGTAGAATTCTGAAAGTTTCACAAAGCCTAGTGACCAAATCCTGTGATGTACAAGGACACTGTCAGCTGCAAGATGAGAAAAGATGCTCCCTACCAGGCTGCACTCCACAGTGACATTTACATTCCACTCGTATGTGTAAGAGGAAGTGGTCAGATCACTGCTTCCACCCACAGAGTTCAATTCTTTCTTAATACCTCCCATAACCATTTTCTCACAATGACCGAGCTGTCCCTTAATTTCTGTGACATTGCCAGAGGAAGCTTACTGTGCTCTGCACCTGGTAAGAAGGACTCCGTTTCCTCCTGGGGCCTGGGGGGAACACCCAGAAAAGAAAAACACCATGGCCACATCACAGTGCAGCAGGAGGGCAAAATGGAGGCAAACTGCCCCTCCGGAGCCCATGGTGTGGTCCCTACCTTGTCACTGAACAGCAATTCACCTGACTTCATTTTATCCTGCTGTAACCTAATGCTTCATCCAGCTACTGTGTATTTGTCCCTTTGTGTTCAGACAGAATGGCCTTGGCCAGAGGTGACAGAAGCATCCTGCCCAAGTGGCAACCCATCACTGGCTCCAGAGCAGAACAGGGCTTTTCCAGAGCCAGGCTATTTTCTGTTTGGGACTTTCTGTTCAGCTCTTTGTTTGGAGTGCCCCTAACACCTGGCTTATGTTTTCAGCTTTTATTTTGCAATTTCCTGAAGATAAAAGATAAAGACATACTCTAAAAAAAAAACAAAAAAAAAAAACAACCCACATGTTATTTAGGAGACACAGCCGTTAGTTTAGCAGTGAGGAATTGACCTCTCCTTTGTGCAGGCACAGAGCTCTTGTTAATATTAACTGAAAAGAACCTTTAATAGGGGCGCCTGTTCCTTGAGATTCAGGCTGCAGTCACCTGCTTTACACCATTACTACAGCAGAACACGATTCTGACAAATTATTTGAATGGCAGTTTTACTAGCTTTTGAATTTCATATAAACTTTCTCTCACCACATACAGACCAGGATGAACTCAAAAACTTCAGGCACTCCCAGGTACCTTGGCTACAAGCTTTGTCTCTGCAGCCTCTCGCTAGCAGTCAACCCAAGCTGTGATGGCAGCCACAAGTGGACATACTGGAAACAAAAGTGGAGCCTGCACGTTGGTATCACCAGGGCACTATTCCTGCACCTTCCCAATACCTCCCTACAGGCACTTGAAGCTTGTAGAATCATCACTTATTTACCTCAGTTTACCCAAGATTAAGTGGGATAATCTCAGGTCTTATCAAACACAAAGATATTTTTCTTTACCTTATTTTCCTTGGGGCAACAATAGGTACCTCATGCCTCTGGGCAAAGGGACAGCTCTCCTCTGCGTGTGAGGAATGATCTTCTGATAAGAGTAATACAGAATTCTTCAATATAATCCTACTCACATCAGCCACCAAAAACATAAGAAAGAAAAAAAACCTCTCCAAAACAAACAAAAAGCATACCTAAATTCCTTTAGAATCATCTTTAACATGTGTTCAACAAACAGAGCATCAGATGATCCACAGCAAATGGAACCAGAGCAGCAGCATATGTTGTCTCTGCTTATGTAAAATGCTTAAGAACTGTCATTTCAATCACACATCTGCTGTTGGCAGCCCTGGAGGCACACACACTGGTCACCCTGTCCATTCCTCTCAGGAGGCACTTACACCAAGCAGTGTGCGAGGGCTTCTATGTCAATCAGCAGGTATTTGAGCATACACTATTGGTAGGATGAATAAGAATTTAAGTTCTTATCACCTACCATGGCTAAATCAGACTGAATGTGCTTCCATTATATGAGCAGTCTCAATCCATACAACAAAAGACCTGTCACACTGCACTCATGACAACTCATGCTAGTGCCACGACTTTGCATGGCAGCATCTAGCGAAACCAAGGTGTTTAGAATGGCTACTGAGGCACTTTTCAAGTGTGCTCCTTGTGCTTAAACCTGTCCTAACTTAGAACCTATCCTGCACCTAACCAGATTGCTTCACTCTATTTTCCTTGTTTCTCAGAGTTCCCATAGCTGTAACAATATACAAAGTTAACTTACACTTTGCATATGTAAAAGCAACTTTTAAACAAGTGCATGTGTAACACAGAACAGAGTACATCTGTACCTGAAAACACTCTAGAATTGAAGGGTGACTTCTAAAACCTTATGTTAGTAACAGTTTTCTGAGCTATTTAGGCCTTAGGTCACTCCCACTCATCTGAATTTAGACACTGACAGCACATTATAACGTACAAAGTTCTACACTGCAGCCACAACACCGGCAGAACCACCCTTCATTCTGTGACAGGCTCTGTGATGATCAGCACACAGGCACAGGGAGCTCCTGCTGCTGCCTGGACGTGTCCCCTTTCAACAGAGCACTGCTCCCCTCCTGACAGAGCTATGGCACACAAAGGACTCCAGGAGTCTGACTGAGAGCATAGGAGAAATCAAGTGGCAGAGGTGTTAGAAGGCTGGGATGAAGCCTCAGGAATTAGACTACACATCAGAGAATGCTGCAAAGATGTGATGCGGCATGAAGGCTCAGCACTTACAGATCAGGAGATACTGGAGATCTACCCAACGTCTCTCATTCTGGAGGTACACCTAAATCTGCAGTACCATAGCTCTTCCAGATTAATTCTAAAAGCCATTGAGATTTCTACAATGAAGGGTGGGGAAAGAAAAAAAAATTAGACAAGTAGCACCCAGGTCTCAAATGGAGAAGTAAAATGATATTCCTAAGTCAGAGCCAAAGTGAACACATGGATTGGGTAGCTTAAAGCTGTGCTGCCTCACAAAACAATGTGCAAACTGGTGCAAAACCAAAGATGCAGTGGCCACAAGAGATGTGAGGGGCTAAACAGTACTGCACAGTAACAAAGGACTCATGAAACCTCCGTTTTGCTGAGGTTCACAGCACTCTGAGATACAGCTGTGGATTAATCACCCCACCTTGCTATGCCTCTGGCTGCCACAAGAACTGCATTTAGTTACAAATAGGTTTGGCAGGTTGCACAATTGGTTACAGATACTGCCAAAAACCATCCAGCACCAGTGGAACACAGAAAGCAACTGCAATCAGCCACTTGCAGCAGTACTAGATCCAGATAGAGTCAGAAAGGCTGCAGGACTGGAAGGCTCCAGCATCACCCTTGTCTACTCAGTCATCTGTGTCACATGGATGCTGGAGTTCACCAAGGCATTTTTTTATTCCAGGGTACCCGGAGGTGCATCTCTGAGTGGATTCACATATTCATATTTAACAGCATGTTCAATAAGCTTCTTCTCTTCTGTACAGCACTTAAGAGTGAATAATTAAAGGAAATATTACTGTAGTAGAGCTTCTCATTAGCAACCTAATTAGCTTTCTGAAAATAATTAACATTCCTGTCTATAAAGAGAACAGATGACCCATTACATCCATTAGACAAGCAAAACAAATGCCCAAGGTAAGGGACTTTTTTTCAGAGGAAGAGCATGGGAAGCATCCAGCAACGCCATTAAAAGAGGAAGCCGAGGAGGCACAGATGCCTGTGACTCATGGAGACTATGCAGGTGGGTACGCAGGATTGGTTTGTCTAGTTGTCAGATGTGTAAACGTGTAGCATTTGCACACAGATATGTTCTTTATCTGCCTCTATGACCTGCTGATATTCCATCAACTGAGATGCTGAAAAATTTGGCACCCCATCTTTTTTTTTGAATGCTTTCAAATTCAGCCACTTAAGCTCATAACCATCTCTCTCCAAATGCAAAAAAAAAAAAATCCCCCAAAGGTTTTTTGTTTGTTTGTTTGTTTTTAATAGTAAAACACTTCAAAAATTCCCAAATAAACTACAGTTTAATGTCACGTGCAGTTCATTTCCACAGCCTACAGGAACAGCTGAGGTGATGGTTAGAAGCAGCATCAAGTACCTTCCCCCCAGCTGTAGAGAGAGGGTGGTGCTCTGATCAGCTGGTATGTTGAAAGAGTTTGGAACATGTTTCTCAATCAGTACCTGTTTGAAATTGTTGTGGGTGAACAGAGTGACAGCTATCAGTGCTGTGGAATGTTTGCATGTACAGATGAGAAGAAAACTAAGGACACAAGTCAGCATATCACGGACTGGTACAGCAAGAAATGTGGTATTATAACAGTATTATCACGTGTGTTGACTCAGCACAGAACAACAGATAAAGGTAAAGATAAAAAAAACAAGCCATGACAAAAATAAGGTTCCCAACATCCATATATTCTTGGCCATGCAGTTGCATTTTTCTCATTTCTGTGTTCGTACATTTACATTCCCCTTGTAGAAGAGTTGAATACTCGTAGCCTTTAAGTGTGATTACAGTGAGGCAAAGCTCAGCATGCAAAAGCTTCCACAGTTACATCACTATGGAAACCACACATCCACCTCCTGCTCTGTTTGTCTGCTTCCTTATCTGATTAAAACAAAAAAAAAGAAAACAAAGAAAAAAAAACCCTATTTTTCCAATCTCCACACTTCTATCCAGACCACAGGAAGACAAACACTTTTTACCTGCCTCAGGAAAAATACCTTCTTCCTTCAGAGCCACTCTGTGAAAGGCCCCACCTCTCCACCTAGCTGGGCAGACTTTCACCAGCACACTTACTCCACTTCTTTCAAAAAGCACTCTCAAAACCCAGGCTGGGATTTCACTTTTGTTTCCCACCTACGACTTCCCTCAGCTTCTGGACTAGGACAGCCCCAGAGGTGAGTGACTTTTAGGGCAAATTCAGTGAGAAGGTTAAATTGAAAGCTGAAAACTGTTCTGGATGTGAGCTATAGGGTCTTTCCTAGATCGAAACATCCAGTTTCGATCAAGGTAGATGACATTGCTAGGCAGCTGCAAACACAAGGGCTGAACTGTTGCCAAAGAAGCCCATTACTTCTGCAGAAGTTGCTGGTTAATGGTAACTTTTCCCACACTAAAAGTCTAAATCTCTCATCAAAAGCCTGAAGCCAAGAGCAAATCTGGAAGACGCAGAATTAAAATGGGGGACAATACTTAGAAGTCTAAAATAAGGTGTGCATTCTGCAGCCCAGGTATGTGAAATGGCTGATAGAATCTTCATACTAACATGTCAGAGAGGGTAAATTCTCCCCCGTGTCTGTGAATTTTGTGGTGAGCCTTTGAAAACGTCTTCAGCAAGTTCCCTCTGACCTCCCAGCTCATCTATCCCAAGAGCTCACAGCAGTTCAGAATTTAGCCTATGTAGTTCCTCAACTCCTTGGCACCTCTCAGCTTCAGCTGCCAAGTTTTCCAATCATTATGGAGCAAATGCCCACTAGTACATGAGTTGAGAAAAGGTATATATTTTACAGCACGTAAGCACCCTCTTCTATGCTAAGGTACTCTGTAAAGAAAGAAAAGTCCAGCTATGCTCAGAGGACTTTCGGCAGACGAGAGTCTGGCTTCTCAGTAGGACATAGAAACAACCTAACATAGCATAAATTCTCTTACAAAAACAAGGTGCAGCCACACTAAAGGTGCTACCCCCTACCAGCTTTCACAAAAGGGAGCAGTCAGTGCTTCCTTCTTGATCCTCATTTCCCTCCCACAGACATTCCAGGATTCTATCAGTGATCAGACACATTCCAGTTCCATTGGTGCTATGGGAGTTCCTACCAACAGCCCACAGAATGAGCAAAGGTTACTTCTGTGTCCTCAAGGATGTCACAACAGTGCATATGACAGGTTCTTGGAGAAGGGCAGACTGAGTGGAAGAGTGATGCAGTCTGCAGGGTCGTGTCCCTGTGGCTCTGGGAGCAGATCTGTCTGCATCTCCAGCAGATGGCATTCCAAGCAGCCCAAGTGGATGGCACATACAGGAGGCACTGGAGGAATTAATTATTCATAGTCTTGTTCTGCTGCCAATGGATCTATGTTTTCTTGTGCCCACACAGTGCTCAGTTTTTGTTTTAACAGTAACAGGAGATGTCTGCGCCTCCTTTGATGGCTCTTGAGGGCAGGCGATTAGCGGCATTTGCTCTGCTCACAGCAACAGTACTATACCTCAGGGCACATGCCAGACACAGCTTTCTCCAGAAGAACCCATGGCTGCATCACTGACAGAATGTCTGGGTGCACTCCAAGGCATGGTCCAGCAGCAGCAAACTTCCTGAGAAGCTGTTGACTCTTGCTTTGTCATAACCTGCAGAACTGGCATGAACCTTGCTGCTCAAGAGATGACATTCTGACCAATTGAGGGCATGTGTATAACTGCACAACCAGCAACAAGATCATACGCAGAGCCTGAAGCAGTTGTTGACCCTGCTTACCTACATCGTTTGCATTGTCATTGTTCAGCCCACTGCTTTTATTCAGTAGCTGTCCAGAACTGCTGCCCATTCCCAGAAGAGGGGCAGGGATCAAGCAAGGCAACCTGTGTGACTGGGACAGTACCACAAGGGATCCCTTGGACACCACCACAAGGAGAGGGCCACGAGACTCCTGAGACAGAGAGCAGACTATGATGGAGGTGCTATGTGAATCTGAACATATAGGTGCTACGCATGGAGAACTCAAAGTGATTTCCATGTCAGAGAAGTACTGTGCATGACCTACCATGAGGGCCTTAGCCACAATCTAGAAAACAAAACTGTACTCTAAACTGCTGAAAGCTGCACCAGAGCACCTGACTTTGCCTCTTGCTCGGGCACTGTGCTGCAGAGTGCTCTGAGAACACTGCAGGGTCCAGGGATTGTTGCTGATATCCCACAATGCCTAGCCTGTCTACTAGGATCAATGCAACTCTTCACTCAAATGTAAAACCTCTCACTTTGGTAGCGTTTTACTCTGCGCAATTGTAGCAGGCTGCAATAGGTACAGGCAAGAGGAGCCTGTGATCAGCAGAGTAGCACTGTTGAGTGCAGAGATTGCACAGTTCCTCAGAGGCAGGAATAGACTCTGCATCATCTGACTCACACCTGTGCAGAGAGCAGCCCCTGCTCCTTACCTACTGCTCTTCTTTAGCTCAGGCAGTGCTCCACTGTCCTGATTGCTGTGACTTCTTCAGACTATCTGTGGGTGAGGTCTTAAAGTGACAATAATGCTGGAATAAGCTTGGCAATATAAATTACGAGCGATCAGAACAGTGTGACATGAAGCAGACAGAAACCAATGACAATGCATGCAAACTGCAACCTTACTCATGCTTCCAAAAAGCAACCTCCTGTCCACACTCACCCACTCTACATATCTGCTGTGCTGCAGCCCACTCCTGCCTTCTACCCCCCAACCCTACCTGTTGGGAGGGATCCAGCAGCTCTCCCACTTTGGCCAGCTCCCAGTTCACAGCATCCGTGGTGAGGCCAGGCTGTCCCCGCAGGTCCGAGCCGCTTCAGACAGCTGCTGTCTTCGAGACAGGAGCGTGCAACCAGCAGCTAGCGTGGCGACCAGGCAGCCTTCATAAAGCAAAGCAGCACAGGTTAATGTTAATGCGGCACAATGCGAGAGAACCTTCCAACACCCAAAATACAACATATGTATCTCAGCCCTGGCACCTGGCTGTGTGGATGGCCAACCTCTACCAAGTGCAGATGAGTGCTGCCCCTGCCCCAGTCCCGGGCTGGCAGCCACTCCCCAAGCTGGGCTGGGTCCTTCTGCTCCATACTGTCCTTCTGGATCCCTGCCATGACAAACACGAGGAGCATAGCGCTAGAGCCAACGACCAAAGGTTCCTCACTGCCATCTCAGACAAGGGCTCAGTTAACCATAGAGGATCTACCAGAAAGTGTCTGCTCAGTCTTTTTTTCCTGCCCATCAACCATTTTAAATATGTTAATTTATTTTTTAAAGTTTCATCCCAATCCTCCTCCTAACACTGCCTCCCTATCTCCCCTCTAACCACACATTCCTTCCCCTCCCTTTTCTGCTCCACACCTTCACACAGGCAGGCCCTTTTCAGCCCCCAGCCTGTTTCCCCCCTGCCCTGGTGAGGAGGCTGCCACCTGCCCCTGCATCAGACCCAGGCCATGAGAAGAGCCACATGCCTGAGCTGCCCTCCGCTTCTCAGGCACTGTCGCTCAGGGTGCCACTGTGCTGCTTTGCGCAGAAGTCACACATTGAGGTGCCAGTTCCAACACAAAAATATCCAGCACATAACCACTTCAGTCTCACAGATCTCACACTCTGAGGACTTGTCTACACACAGCAATTTTCTAGATTAATGGCATGTGACGAAGTTACAGAGCAAGAACAACTATGTGCCAGATTGCATAACAAACAGGATCTTCACGTTATCACAGAATTGCAAGGGTTGGAAGGAACCTCAAGAGATCATCGAGTCCCACCTCTCTGCTAAAACAAGTACCCTACAATAGATCACACAGGTAGGCATCCAAATGGGTCTTGAATACCTCCACAAAAGGAGACTCCACAACCTCTCTGGGCAGCCTGTTCCAGCACTCCATCACCCTTACCATAAAAAAGTTATTCCACATATTATTATGGAGATTCCCACATAAAAGTTTAGGCTATTGTTCTTGTCCTGTTGCTGCACCAAGAACAGCCTGGCCTCATCCATCTGCACCCCACCTCCTTTAGATATTATAAACATTTATCAGATCCCAATGAATGTAAAATTTTGCGCACCTAAATCCAACAGTAATTCAAGAGAAACATCTTCTCTTAAAAACAAAGAAATACAATACAAACAATAGAAGAAATACACCATTTGCCTTTAGATCAGACTGAACTACAAACATATTCCAATAAAAAAAATGCAGATTAAATAACTTATCCTCCCCCAACAAAACCTTCCCACCAAGATCAGCAGAGTGATGAATAGCATAAAACTACTAATTAAATCAATGTAACCTGAGTATCATGAGACACACCAAGCACTTCCTGCACATGCATTGATGTTAACGTCTGCTTTGGAGCCTCTCTTACCATGAGGAATAGCTGCTATTTTAACAGCCAGGTACTTATACGTCACACTGGAAAGAGCGGCTGTTGTTTATTAGCTCTCAATTAAATTGCTCTAAAATTGATGTTCCTGTAAGTTATTCACACATATGCTATTTTCACTGTATGCATTTTGTAACAGTAGAGTATAGGTTTCTACTGAGCTATTTATCAGATGCGTGCACACAAAACTTCAAAAAGTATTTCCTAGAAATGCATTTTAAATAACACTGAGAACTCTTTTTACATACTCAGATCTATTTGACTATAATTTGTTCTATAAAAGAGAGGAGAACAAAATGATACAAAATAAGCAGCTGCAACACTCTTGACTCCTTCAAGGCACAAACCTGAAAACCGAAAAACACACCACTGCTTTTAAACCAGAAGCTGTGCTCTGGGTCACTTGTTTTGCTTCCCATCTCTGAAGCCAGTTAATAAACACATACACCCACTGTTTGCCACAAGGCTGGGCACACCCTGGAAAAAAAACAAAGTACAACATTTTCAAAAGGGTATATTTATTGCCAGGTGAGTTCCACATATCTCGGTGTGAGCGCTCCGTTCCTTACTCAAAGGTTTGGCATGGGAGTGAAGGACAGAGCGGAGCTGAGAAATTCTCCTGGCAGGGGGATAACACTGGGACAGCTCTGTCCTGTCCTGCACCTTGCTGCGCAGCTCAGCCCTTTTGCTAGCACCAGCCCTACGGCCGCCCACAGTGTCACAGAAACTCCAATCAAGGGATTTGCCATTCATCTGAACGCTGCTACCAAAAACCTCCCTGTACTCAGCCATATCACCTCCCAGATCTGGCTTTCAGGGCTCCACCCAGCAGGAAAGAGATCCTTTTTTTCAGTAAGAAAAGCAAACAAAAAAGCCTCCTTCATTTCTATGAGCTCAAAATGTTTGAGAAACCATCGCTTCAGTCGCACGTGTATCTACACTTGAAAGAAAAAGAAACTCTTTGTTAGCAAAGACTGTGTGGTAACATAAAAGCAGAAATGCAGCACTGAAGATAAAGGCTTGACCTTGGAGTTCACAGCACTTTGGCTGGTCAGAAAAGGTCACATAAATGATAAGTGAACTTTTTGTATAGAAATGCTAATGATTAAAAAGGTATAATGTTTGTATTAGCAAAAATCAACAACTACAACAAATATTCAGCAGTGGTGCAGCCATTCAATAAAAAAAGGAAGAAAGAATCTGAAGCCCACTGTTATGCAAGACTTGGGCTCCTCTCAGATGCCAACACCAGCAGGCAAGTGCTGCACGTCAGTAAGCGAAGGAGCAGCACTCATCCAGTGAGAACTGGATGGAAATGAAATTCTTGGCTGCCAAGTGGCTACTTGCGTGTTCCTTCACCTGTTTGCTTATGCTTTTTCATGATTTGCAAAGTGCACTTGAGAAGGAAACTCAGGTCCATGCCACTACCTGGTAATTAAACTGAGATGTTCCACCAACAGCGAAGCCCTTGAGCAGCACCCAGGCTCAGTTTATCTAAAGCAGAAAGCAAACAACTTCTCAGCAATGCACCCCCACCCTCTAACCCCTGCAAGACCTCCACGGAGGGTGATGCAGATGTCACCCAAATGAACCCAGCACGCCCTTTCCTCTGTCCTTTGGTTGAGGTTTCCAGCTGCGCATGGAGCAGCCAGGCCCTGGGATCCCTAGACTCAAGGTACTTAGAGCACAGAACATGGCACTCCCTCCCAAAGGCAGGAGGTAGGGCTGCACCATCCCATGAGATGACATCTGGGCTGGAAGAGGAGCACAGCAACAAGATTGCAAAACTCCATAAAAAGTAGCTTTCGGCCACCTGCAAAAAAACAAAGCACCTTCAAGATTAGGAGCATCCTTTCCCAAACACCTCCACATCAGCACACTGTGGCTTCTGGAAGGCCTTCAGTCTCAGAGTGCTCCTAAAAGCGCTGGCACCAGCGAGAACTGGAGAGCCTTGGGCCGGTGCTCCACAAGCCACAGGAGCTGCAAATGCTGCTGTGGATGGTCACCAACAAGAAGCAGAATTTTAGAATAACCAACAAGAGTCTATTTTGTTGTTGTTGCAGTTACCCTGCAGAATTTCTAAGACAGATCCTGTAATCTATCAGGTAGTCAGGTTTCAAACAAAATCCCCTAAATCTGCCTTATGTTATCGGAGTCCTACTTACTGTTTCTCCATGCACACTTCACTGCTGATGTTCCTGCCATTCCCTTCTTGCTAAGACAATGAGAACGAACCAGCTGGCTCTACATACAGGTTCTTGTGCATTACTGCATCTCTCAACACTCAGGTCAAATGGGTCGCAGTGGTGTTCAAGGTTCCCCACAGCTCACCACATTTCCCTGATGTGTGCCTTTTAACATCAGTCTCTCACTCATTTTCTTACCTCTCGCGTTCCCAGGGATGAGCCATGGCCTGCTCTTTACAAGCTGGTGAAGGCCCGTGGGAGAGAATGGCTGTTTCCTTATATACACACTTACTTACACTTCATTATTTTGAACAGCTCATCTAACATTTGTTCTGTTGCTTTCAGGTTCTGTGAATACATTTCTGTAAAACCACGGTCAAACCTGACCTCACAATATGGCAGTCAAGCAGGAGGGGAGTTAAAAGGAGCAATTCTCACAGAACTCCACCTACACGTGCTTCATGGAGAAGTATAGAGCATGTTACATCATGAAAGCAAAGTCACTGGCTTTTTGGTAACTGAAGGCAGGGTACAGTTGCTTAGCAATTTATCTGATTACCATTTTTCAAGTATCACATGCACACTTAGAGATGTTGCATAATAATGTCTCACTTTCATGTTTCCTAACCCAATTAAAAAAAAATAAATCTACCAAACTTCTGCCAAAATTAATACCTATAGCTGTATCTGGCAAAAGAGAAAAGACAATATAGCAGCTCAAAAGCGAGTTGAAGCATTAATATTCCTGAATATAAATGGCTTTCAGAATGTCTCTATGAAAGCATTTTATTTTATCCACTTCTCTGCGAAATGACAGTAGTAATTCCTCCCTCACAGAGAGGCACCAAAATTCATTAAGAACAGTAAGATTTTCAGATGAAAGATGCTGAGGAAGCATTGTTGTTAGCACTTACAGCTTATTTAGTACTCCAAACATTGTTAAGCCCTGGTCCGAAGAGCAGCAAATTCTAGTCATTGTCATAACATTGTTAGGGAAACAAGGACTGTCCAGTCTCACACCATGCAAACTACAATTCTAACACGAGAATCTACTTTCACCACCTAGGAAAGAAAAAAGAAAACAAAATCCAAAATTCCCCCCCACTCCACAGTACATACCCCAACCTGAGGCTGCAGTACTAAGCACTGCTGCAGCTCCTGGAGCTGCTACTTCGAAAAAGCAGAGGTAAATCAGAACATGTGCATACATGGCATTTTTAGAAAAGAACATGTTGTACCTATCGATCTGCTCTTTGAAAACCTAATTACACTGTAGCTAATCCATGAAAGAATTGAATCTTCAGCTGCCTTTGCAGTGAGCAGTAATAGCTAATAATACAAATATCAAAACTAGGCACTGTTTCCAAAAGGTTATAATCAGCTCAAAGAAGAACTTGCACCATAGAGATAGATCTTTTGCATATCCATGAGATATATTCCATTAAAACATAAAGTGTCTACCTTATACATGCACCTCTGTCTTCAACTGCACAGAAAGCAGCTCAGCTGCCTGGAGCTCCACTTACAGCACATAGTTCCTGTCAGCTGAAGTAACCAAAGGTAAAGTTTTGGAAACCCAGTATCTCATCCCCATGGCAAAGTATTAACCCGCAATGAGAAACCCCAAGCAAGGACAGCCAAGCTCTATACTGCTACCAAGTAATTATCTTACTTTCACCGCAGCTCCTCTCTTGCTAGTAGACATTAGAGC